ATTAGTAAAAAATATCACATGATCCCAACTTGTAATTCTATCTGCAGATTTTTTCCCTCTGTCTATGATCGTTACACCCTGTGCAATGAATTCACCGCTAAAAGCCCAAAATGAATAACATGTTATAAGAAAAATGCACAGAAATGTTAGACCTAATTTTTGTTTTGGATCTTCAAAATAAAATTTAGACACATGTAGCATAGATCATTTTCAGCTATTATGCTTTTGGATTGCATACACTGAAGTTTGTTCTACAATGTGTAGTTTTTTTTTTTTTTTACAGATATGCCAATACAAGAAATGTTTGAACATTTAGACTTTAATTTCAATTAAGTATGGTTGAATATGTAAGGATTGGTGTTCTGTACATTGATGAGATACTTCATAGATTAGTTCAGTCATTTAGTTCTCACTTTAATTTAATCTTGAGGAAGCAGATGTTGTTGGGCGACAAACACAGTCATCTCTCACAATCAGTAATCCTTTATCCTTTCCTCCCTTCTGTGCTTTGTTCCTTCCACTTCTTGACAAAGTGTGTGCCTGTGTGCTTGCCTGTAACTGACCTAAGATACTGAAGGTGGAGAAAAACATACTGTAAATATCTGCAAAGAGGGCTCCATCTGTTAAAGTCGTTAGAAGAGGCAGCATAACAACTGGTAAAATACTTACCGATGCCTCGTTGGACCTTCCTTTGCAGAGCAAATTCAGCTCAGTTAGATGTCAGCTGTCATTCTTTTTATTAAATTCTCCCTCAGTACACATGAACACACACACGGATGCATATGTGTTTGGCACTGCAAGTCATATGCATGAGAGGGAATCAACCATTTTGTGGGTGTTTAATTCTCATGGGAAAATGAAGAGGTCTGTGCCATTTCCTGACATTTTCCTGCGTTATGCAGATGGTAAAGCAGATATCTATTAACATAAACAAACAGGCTATATAAAGCTTCATACTCTGACTAAACATTTGCAGCCAGGGACCCCGTTTTGGTTGGACACAGTTTTAACCAGTGGGTGGCTAAACATATATAATTGGATTGGGAAGTATATGATGCTGCTTCAAGCTTATATGATTACCAAAATGTATAAAGTTCATATAGAAAAATGATTTACTGAATAATGACTAAAGTGAACCAAAAAGAATTATAAAGATAATGGACTATGAAAATGAAATTCAAACTATAATGACTTGCAGTTCCATCTGTCATATTATATATTACAATAGTAATATAAAATTTCACATGCATCCATCCATCCATCCATCCATCCATACATACATACATACATACATACATACATACATACATACATACATACATACATACATACATACATACATACATACATACATACATACATACATACATACATACATACATACATACATACATACATACATACATACATACATACATACATACATACATACATACTGGCTGTCTGTCTGCCTACATACATACATACTGTCTGTGTGTTTGTCTGTCTACATACATACAAACATACATATATACATACATACATACATACAGTGGGGCAAAAAAGTATTTAGTCAGCCACCAATAGTGCAAGTTCTCCCACTTAAAAAGATGAGAGAGGCCGGTAATTTTCATCATAGATATACCTCAACTATGAGAGACAAAATGAGAAAAAAAATCTAGAAAATCACATTTTCTGATTTTTAAAGAATTTATTTGCAAAATATGGTGGGAAATAAGTATTTGGTCAGTTACAAACAAGCAAGATTTCTGGCTCTCACAGGCCTGTAACTTCTTCTGTAAGAGGCTCCTCTGTCCTCCACTCGTTACCTTCATTAATGGCACCTGTTTGAACCCGTTATCCGTAGAAAAGACACCTGTCCACAACCTCAAACAGTCACACTCTAAACTCCACCATGGCCAAAACTAGAGAGCTGTCAAAGGACACCCGAAAAAAAATGATAGACCTGCACCAGGCTGGGAAGTCTGAATCTGCAATAGGTAAACAGCTTGGTGTGAAGAAATCAACTGTGGGATCAATTATTAGAAAATGGAAAACATACAAGACCACTGATAATCTTCCTCGATCTGGGGCTCCACGCAAGATGTCACCCCGTGGGGTCAAAATGATCACAAGAATGGTGAGTAAAAATCCCAGAACCACACGGGGGGACCTAGTGAATGACCTGCAGAGAGCTGGGACCAAAGTAACAAAGGCTACCATCAGTAACACACTACGCCGCCAGGGACTCAAATCCTGCAGTGCCAGACGTGTCCCCCTGCTTAAGCCAGTACATGTCAAGGCTCGTCTCAAGTTTGCTAGAGAGCATTTGGATGATCCAGACGATGACTGGGAGAATATCATATGGTCAGATGAAACCAAAATAGAACTTTTTGGTAAAAACTCTTCTCGTCGTGTTTGGAGGAGAGAGAATGCTGAGTTGCATCCAAAGAACACCATACCTACAGTGAAGCATGGGGGTGGAAACATCATGCTTTGGGGCTGTTTTTCTGCTAAGGGACCAGGACGACTGATCCGTGTGAAGGAAAGAATGAATGGGGCCATGTATCGTCAAATTTTGAGTGAAAACCTCCTTCCATCAACAAGGGCATTGAAGATGAAACGTGGCTGGGTCTTTCAGCATGACAATGATCCCAAACACACCGCCCGGGTAACAAAGGAGTGGCTTCGTAAGAAGCATTTCAAGGTCCTGGAGTGGCCTAGCCAGTCTCCAGATCTCAACCCCATAGAAAATCTTTGGAGGGAGTTGAAAGTCCGTGTTGCCCAGCGACAGCCCCAGAACATCACTGCTCTAGAGGAGATCTGCATGGAGGAATGGGCCAAAATACCAGCAACAGTGTGTGAAAACCTTGTGAAGACTTACAGAAAACGTTTGATCTCTGTCATTGCCAACAAAGGGTATATAACATAGTATTGAGATGAACTTTTGTTATTGACCAAATACTTATTTTCCACCATATTTTGCAAATAAATTCTTTAAAAGTCAGACAAGGTGATTTTCTGGATTTTTTTTTTCTCATTTTGTCTCTCATAGTTGAGGTATATCTATGATGAAAATTACCGGCCTCTCTCATCTTTTTAAGTGGGAGAACTTGCACTATTGGTGGCTGACTAAATACTTTTTTGCCCCACTGCACATACATACATACATACATACATACATACATACATACATACATACATACATACATACATACATACATACATACATACATACATACATACATACATACATACATACATACATACATACATACATACATACATACATACATACATACATACATATATACATACATACATACATATATACATACATACATGCATACATACATACATACATACTGTCTGTCTGTCTGTCTGTCTGTCTACATACATACATACATACATACATACATACATACTGTCTGTCTATCTGTCTGTCTGTCTGTCTACATACATACATACATACATACATACATACATACATACATACATACATACATACATGCATACATACATGCATACATACATACATACATATATACATACATACAAACATACATATATACATACATACAAACATACATATATACATACATACATACATACATACATACATACATACAAACATACATATATACATACATACATGCATACAAACATACATATATACATACATACATGCATACATACATACATATATACATACATACATGCATACATACATACATACTGTCTGTCTGTCTGTCTGTCTGTCTGTCTGTCTACATACATACATACATACATACATACATACATACATACAAACATACATATATACATACATACATACATACAAACATACATATATACATACATACATGCATACAAACATACATATATACATACATACATGCATACATACATACATATATACATACATACATGCATACATACATACATACTGTCTGTGTGTCTGTCTGTCTGTCTACATACATATATACATACATACATGCATGCATACATACATACATACATACATACATACATACATACATACATACATACATACATACATACATACATACATACATACATACATACATAAATAAATACATACATACTGTCTGTCTGTCTGTCTGTCTACATACATACATACATACATACATACATACATACATACATACATACATACATACTGTCTGTCTATCTGTCTGTCTGTCTGTCTACATACATACATACATACATACATACATACATACATACATACATACATACATACATACATACATACTGTACTGCCTCTCTATATACAGACAGACAGACAGACAGACAGACAGACAGACAGACAGACAGACAGACAGACAGACAGACAGACAAACAGACATGAATTTAAATCAAAATCTCCCAGAGCTTGAATGTAAACATTTGTGGTGGACAGGAAAGTTTACTGTACTGTACTGCAAAGGAACAGTTGTATTCATGGTCTGTAAAAGACAAGAAATGGTTGGTATTTGAATGGATCTTCAAATAGATCTCATATTTAAAAAAAGAAAACAAAAACAGCATATCGGAAGTGGGGTGGGGGTTATTTACTTTGATAATACTTCATAGTATTATTGTGTCTCTATTGTAAAAAAAAAAAAAAAAAAAAAACACAGACCACCGTCCTCTGCCATTTCTGAGAAAACTGCTCCAACATGCACATATCCAAATGCTGTATTTTCTCTTATATTCATATTATAGACAATTACGCAGATAAAACTGACCAGGAAATATCAATGATTGTAAGGAGGAATAAAATGACTATTTTTAAGGTGCAACTGTAGGTCAGTTTGTAAGTGATTGATGATTCAATAAGACACATCTCTTTTTTTTTACTTCAGGAACAAATGGGCTGTGATATATTTATAAGAAGGCCCATCCTAATTGAAACTGTCCTGTCTGTGAGGAATGACCTTGTTTAAATGAGTCTAGCTGACGTGTGTGGTTGTGTGTGTGTGTGTGTGTGACAGAGAGAGAGGGGGGGACAATATGAGTAGAGGGGCAGTGGAAGGCTGGCACGCCCAAGCTACAGAGCTGAATGACGCCCGTCTGTTGCATCTTTGGTATCGGTGCGTCCTGCTATTGGAGGACCACTCCAAAAGAAAGCAATCAGCGGCGCGCCGTGGGCGGGTGGAACGCCTGTTTATAAATCCAGATCTCTCCCCCAAGGTTGGGAACAGCAACAGGAGAAGAGCGAAAGTGAGGCGCATGAGAAGTGAGAGAGAAAGAGACGTGGAAGAGCCGAGGCAGTGGCGGTGGCTGTGGTTGACCGGGGTCCGCGGAGGGGGCGCGGCGTCCGCCCCTGCATGCGACTTCAGCCGCGCATGGACGACCATCTCAGCCTCCTGCAATCACCCCCGCCGAGCGCGACCAAAACCCGAGGCGACAACCTGGTGAACCACGGCTACACCGAGACAGAGGCGGACGTGATGACGGTGGTGGCGTGTGACAACATGCTGGAGGAGTCGGCGGCTCTACCGGGCCACCACTCTTTGGATCGATACGAACCGGATCACGAGTGCTGCGAGCGGGTGGTCATCAACATCTCTGGGCTGCGCTTTGAGACGCAGCTGAAGACTCTGTCACAGTTTCCAGAGACGCTGTTAGGGGACCCCAAGAAGAGGATGAGATACTTCGATCCCCTCAGGAATGAATACTTTTTCGATCGGAACCGACCCAGCTTTGATGCCATCCTCTACTACTACCAGTCTGGCGGGCGCATCAGGAGACCCGTAAATGTGCCCATTGATATTTTCTCTGAGGAAATACGTTTCTATGAGCTGGGAGAAGAGGCTATGGAGAAGTTCAGAGAGGATGAGGGCTTTATTAAGGAGGAGGAGCGGCCGCTGCCAGATAATGAGTTTCAAAGGCAGGTGTGGCTGCTTTTTGAGTATCCAGAGAGCTCGGGTCCTGCCAGGGGAATAGCGATAGTGTCTGTCCTGGTCATTCTCATCTCCATTGTCATCTTCTGCTTAGAGACACTTCCAGAGTTCAGGGATGAGAACAGGGACCCCATCACCATTGCGCCTGTGATAAATGGCACGCTTCCCTATTTCATTAGTCCCTTCTCAGATCCCTTCTTCGTGGTGGAGACGCTGTGCATCATCTGGTTCTCATTCGAGCTGCTGGTGCGCTTTTTTGCATGCCCGAGCAAAGCCACCTTCTCCAAAAACATCATGAACATTATTGACATCGTTGCCATCATCCCTTACTTCATCACACTGGGCACAGAGCTGGCGGAGAGGCAGGGAAACGGACAGCAGGCCATGTCGCTGGCCATCCTGCGCGTAATCAGGCTCGTCCGGGTGTTTCGCATCTTCAAACTCTCGCGTCACTCCAAGGGCCTGCAAATTTTGGGACAGACACTCAAAGCCAGTATGCGTGAACTGGGACTGCTCATCTTCTTCTTGTTCATTGGGGTTATACTTTTCTCCAGCGCCGTTTACTTCGCTGAAGCGGACGACCCGGATTCGGGGTTCAGTAGCATCCCGGACGCATTCTGGTGGGCGGTCGTAACCATGACCACCGTGGGATACGGGGATATGCACCCTGTGACGATCGGGGGCAAGATTGTGGGATCCCTGTGCGCGATTGCCGGCGTGCTGACCATAGCGCTACCCGTGCCCGTCATCGTTTCCAACTTTAACTACTTTTACCACAGAGAGACGGACGGCGAGGAGCAGGCGCAATACCTCCATGTGGGGAGCTGTCAACCTCTGGCGGACACAGAGGAGCTGAGGAAGACTCGATCATCCTCCTCACTCAGTAAAAGCGAGTACATGGTGATAGAGGAGCAAGGGTTTAACGGTTCTTTTAAGCAGCAGCCAAACTTCCCCACCAACCCAACCCCCGTTCAGAACAACTCACAGAACTGTGTAAACATAAACAAAAAGATTTTCACCGACGTGTAACGTGAACGCAAACGGCCACTGAGAGCAGGAGGACGTGATGTGTCACGCATCTGCAGCGACTTTAGAAAGCAACAGTAGATATAAGATGATGGATGATGCTGGGCGCGTTTGTTTAATGAGATGATTTGTGCTCCGTTCGATCAATTAGTTTTGTATATCTACATATTTAGGTAATTGTTGCTTGCAAAAGGTGAAAGAGCTCCTCCTTTTGTTCACTGAACCTGTTGTATGCCGTGCAATAAGCAGCATATTAAACGCATCACAACAGATAGAGATAAAGATGAATGACGCGTAAAAGCGAAAGCACCTGACAATGGATTCTCATGCGTTATTACCATGCATTAAGAGTCGTGATTTCGCAAGCAATAGCCTGTATGTGTAATTTTCAGAGTCATTAGAATATGTTTGCCTATTTCTGTTTTCAAAAACATGTAGCCAAATGTCAGGTAAACATAATCCAGCATATATATGTCATATAAGCCGTTTTGTGGTACGTCTATTGTGCGTTAAAGTGTAGATTAAATGCTACTGCTTTGAAAAAAAAAAAAAAAACAACAGAAAAACAACCTAGGTATAAACTTGGGTTTTTAATGCGTAAACGGCGCCGTGTAAACCACCAATCAAAGCGGCTGTCAAGGTCTCTTTATAGGTGGGAGACACACGTGAGGAGAGAAACAAGAAAAGGGAGCGTTCTCTGATCAAAGATGGAGCGCCTTTCTGTCGCGGAAGCCTCAAATAGAGCCCGCTGTGATGCAGTCTCCATGGCGACGCCAGTTTACTTGGTACCCTCCCAGTGCCGTTGCCATAGCATTGCCGTTTCCACAGTAACCTCCCAGATGGTTTCGCAGCTACATTGGAGGACCTACTGTGAGGGGGGCAGCATGTCTTTTCATTGTTTAATCATTCAGAACAAAACATTTCTAGATTCAGTGACTGTTAAAGGCTGCTGGAGCAAAAACAACAGAAAAAAACAGTGAAGACATCAGACACTCTGAAATCGTGAATCACAACTCAAGACGGTGTCGTGATGACAGAGTGAAATCAGGAGTCAACATGTAAGGAATTATGAATGGACTGAGATTACGTTGCGCGGCTGTCCTCAGTGCACTACCGCGGGGGGCCAGCAGAGGACGATGTTCTCTCACTAAAAAATGGTAAGCTCTGGTTTTGATTCCTTTGTTATTGTTAGAGAAGAAAAACAAAAGCTGCACTGTTTATGGATTTTCAGAATAAGGCGTAAAAACTTTTCTGTTCAGAAAGTGGTTTGCCATCAAAATCTAATAAGAACCAGGGATAGTGCATAAGGCCCTCTTATCCAAACACAAAACAGTTTGTTATTCCTCATAGATTTGTTTAATAGCATGTATTATCTGATTTTATATTGAAGAATATGTTGAATTTTTATTTATCAATTAAATGTGCATTTATTTAACGTTTTCAGGTTACTCCTGTGTGTACATTGTAAAAAGAGCAAAATGTTCTTCTGAGTCCAGGTCTCACCTGGTTCTGAGTCTTGCCTTTCACCTTCATTTGACTTTGTATGTAAAATCAGCAGGACCAGCAATAGCATGCCAAACCAGCTTGTCTAAGCTATGCCCCCTGGTGGCCACTTTCTGCTTCTAAAAGAACAGGTGGCTTCCATGACCTCTGTCATCCTTATAGCTTCATTAACCTTGGGATACATCACAGAAAGTGCAAACAGAGTTCCTTCTTTACCCGTATCATGTAGCAGTGTATTCTATAATGGGTTATACTCTGCATATGCATATTTCTCTGCATTTTGCCTGATTTATTTTTGAAGAAAAATCTATTTATTTGAGGTATTTTTAATCAGTTTTTAAGCATACTTTACAGCTGCACATTTGCGTTCACACATAAAGGAAGAATAATGATTTATTTGTATCTGCATCAAAAATGTGCAGTTATAACATAAACAAAATTTTTAGATATAGGTTAAGCATGCCCCCAAACGTGGCATTGTTTAATTGAAATGCTAGTCTGATGTTAAATTGTTTAAATATAATAAGGGCATGCATATCTTGCTTTGTAAATTCAATTTTGAGAGGGAGCTGTGGAAAATGTTAGGAGGCTCCTGATCTGCGGCAGGGCTCCCATACTGTGGATTTATAAACCAAGACTACAACATATTTTTGTAGTTCTTACAACATTTATCTGTTTGCATCCGTGTTATTTTGTCTGTACTTTCTGAACATAACTTATCCTTCCTCTTCTGTGATACATTTCAGACTATTTATTCATTGCTGTTAAATACACTTGAATTTGTTTCTTTGAAACTATAACATTTAGCAGACAATCTACAGATAAAAATGCAGCCAGTACTACAAAACAGACTAAAGTAAATTAGATTAAATTGTCATATCCTCTTGTTGCATAGTTCATTCTCAGTGTACAGCATTTGCACTACAGATTTTTGCATGCAGGAGCAAAAGAAAAGGAACATAGTGATTGTTTTATCAATGAGGACATCAGAGTCATATCTGCATTGTGGTTCTGATGTTTTTTCTCCTTTATCTTCTCAAACTCTCAGGTAAAAGAATATATTTCTACTTAGACATCTTGGAACATATGATGATCTCATTTCAGCTGCTTCCCTTTAAGGTAAACAAAGTACAAAATTAAAATTGATTTGTTGTTGGGAATTAAGTTAAAAACCCTTGTATTGCTAAACCACTTACTATAAAAAAATTTTTTAAATATTAAAGTTATTGTATTGGTACACTGATAAATTACACATTGGCTGTTTACAGGGGATAGAAACATCAATGTATATGTTAATATAATCAAGCTGGATTCTAAAGGAAAAAGACATAATTTTATTATGTACTTTTTTGTATTTATGCTGTATGCCATTAAAACCCTGTTTGGATGCACCAAGTCGTCTTTAAATTTTAAATATAACTGGCAATTTAGTTTTCAGATTATTCACAAGACGTAATAATGGAAGTGTAGGATTTGATACAACAGGTGTTTGAAGAAAGGGATGACTAGAAAAAGGCCTCATCAATGTTCGTGTCAAAATACCACATTTTGCTATTTAAAGTAAAATGGAAAGAAGTTAATCAAGAACCGCTGTCCTGCATGTTTTAGATGTTTCTATTCTGCCACTGACCTGCCCTAGCAAGGATCTGCATCACCTCATGGCTAATAGAATACATTAGAATACAATCTAGAAAGAGAAATAAAAAAAAAATAAATAAAAAAACTAAATAATACTTTATTGTCCCAAAGGGGGTATATAATAAAGAAGAAAAAGGGTAGTTTGAAAATTAAATGCATAAAGTAAATGCATAATTGTTCATAACAAAACAACAAACCATTCACACAAAAAAAGCACATTTAACAGCAAGGAATAAACATCTCATGGAGCTTATTGGTTTAGGTCATCCTCTAACAGCAAATTAATCTGTTTTTCTCCTCAGGGCTGCAGAATCTCTGATCCAGGTGTGTTGGATTGGATGAGCCATGTTTTGGAATTCAGACAACAATCAATTGGATCTACCGTATTTTCACGCCCATAAGGCGCACCGTACTAAAAGGCGCAGTCTCAGTTATGTGTCCCATTTCTGTATTTAACACACACATAAGGCGCACCGGACTATAGGGCGCATTTTTTATATACAGGTACATGTCCTCTACTACCTTTAAATAGCTCTACTGCGTATTTTAAAAATACAGCGGGCCCAAAACTGAGTATGACTGTGCTTTATTCATGTATTTATTACAAAGTATTAATCAAACCTGCGAGCTGGCCATGAGACAGACACATCGCAGATGACACAGCGCTGTGATTACTCCTAAATTAACTTAAAATCCTGAAACCTGCCGACGGAATATGTTCGCTTTTATTGCCGGTATCCTGGTGCCTGCACTGTAAATTATTTAGATGAAAAACACCTGCCAGCCGCCGCGGTGAGGCTGCTGTTGAAGGGATTTCTGCTGTCGGTGCACCGCTGGTATGTGGGGGTCTGAGCGCCTCCGACAGAAATAGATAATCTGGATGAACTGACTGCAATTAAGTTTTCAGGTGGCCTTTCTCACTTAAAAACATATTAAAACTACTTTATTCCCCCTGATCACAGCAAATATAGCTGCAAGATTTAGATTATTTAGATGAAAAAACACCTGCCAGCCACCGCGGTGAAGAGGAGGAGACGCGCCGGGGCTGCTGTTGAATTAAGTTTTCAGGTAGAAAAATAGAGCGGGAGCAAAACTGAGTATGTTTGTGCTTTATTCATGTATTTATTACAAAGTATTAATCAAACCCATCAAAGTCATCATCCTCTGTTTCTGAATTAAACAGCTGCGCTAAATCAGACATGCGAGTTTCCCATTCTTCGCTGTCAGTCACTTTCCGTGCAGCGCGGCTCCTCAGAAATACTGCCGGCTTTTGCGAAAGCTTGAACAACAGAGCCAGCAGACACTTTAGTCCAAGCATCAACAATCCATCCGCAAACGGTGGCGTAACTTGCCCGGCGCTGCCTTCCACTTATCCTGAAACTGTGGTCTCCGTCTGTGGTCTCCTTACTTTGAACGGCCGCTTCACACCGATGTCGAGCGGTTGAAGTTCCTTTGTCAGACCCCCGGGATAACGGCGAGCACAGCGTTCATTTGATTCACCTTTTTTTCACATCGGCTGTGAGATGGGCACGCAGCGATGGTGATGCGTGGAAAAAAGCACCTGGTCTCCTCACATACACCTGCCTTTCATAATCTTCTCATCCATCCAGCCCGTTTCATTTGCGTTAATATCATATGTCATCAGAGCGCTGTGTCTGTCTCGCTGTCAGCTCCCAGATCAGCTTCTCTGATTGGTTGATGCGGCGCGTCCAGCAGCAAAACTTCAATTTTTCCATCTCGAGCAGCAGCAGCGCGTTGGCGGTGCGTCAGATGCTTAAACGCTCCCGACGTGCTGCACCTGCAGCTCAAAACGCGCTGCGGGACCTTTTGCTGCACCTATACGCGCGTCAACCATTGACTTTGCATGTAAACTCGCTGCTTCTGCTGCACCTGCTGGGTCCGGTTCACACCGATGTCGAGCGGTTGAACAGCGAGCACAGCCTTAATTTGTTTCCCCATGTTTTTCACATCAGCTGTGAGATGGGCACGCATGGAGTTACATATTAACAGCGATGGTGATGAGTGGAAAAAAAAACACCTGGTCTCCTTACATTCAGCCACTCTTTCATCATCTCCTCAATGAGGTGGTCTCAAAAGTCGCAGTTACAACACACATAAGGCGCACCGCACCATAGGGCCCACCGCACATTTTGAGGGGAAAAAAAGACGTTTAAGTGCGCCTTATAGTCGTGAAAATACGGTACTACTCCTGTCTTCTTAATGTCAGTTAGTGCCCTCAAACCGGACGGAAAAGGCTGTGACTAGCAACGCTCCCACTGCTCATTCCTAAATTCATAATGGGCACGTAGCAGTGTTCTTACAAAGTGTTGTAGCATACAGTTTGGACTCAATACTCTATGAATGCAACCTTTAAGTGATTGACACTAATATAGATATGCCAAAACTTTTAGCTGGAATTGCCTGTGGGACCTTTTATCCACTCTGCTGTCTAAATGATATGTAAAAGCACAGTTAGATAAATCTGCCAGTATCTTTGCGAGCACCGTTCACTTTATTGAGACTTTGATTTATTTTATGTGTTTTTCTTCACTTTATTTTTAGTTTTTCCCAGAAGGTCTTTATAATCGTTGACTACAACAATCAGGAGGAATTTGAACAAGTGGTAAAAACTGAGTCCATCTGTGATTTGACTGATATGAAACTGTGATACCAATCAAAGACTGTTAGCCATATGCCTTTGTTATATGTTTGTGCTCTCTGTGTTGCTAAATATGTTAAACAGACACATTTTTATGTGTGCTGTTTGCTGCTATTCATTTGATGTATTCACGAAGAACAATACATATGCATTGAGACACATGTGTCAACACAGACACCTTAAACACAAATACACACAGG